TTTAGATGAGAGAGTAATAAATATTGCATCAACTTAAATAAGTTCCTATCTTTTAATATTTAATAACTTTGTAACGTTATCTTGCATATACACTATTAACTGATCTTATTATTCGATAAAATTTCCAAAATATTATATGAAAATTTTATTTTTATATTCAAATATTATTTTGTAGACATCCGTGTCCAATCTTAGAGCACACAATTATTTGTCCTTACAAATGCCTCCACATGTAACATGGTTTGAGTCCATATATAAGCCATCTCCAACCATGCTCCAGATTTGGTATTTCAACATCATTTTTGCCGCCGAGCTGCTCCAATTCAGCACCATTCCCAACACCAAATTTAGATTTTGCTACAGTGCAACACCATTTTTGAACACCATTTTTGGCGTTGCACTGTAGCAAACGTAATTTTTTTTTTAATTTCTTTATTTTTTAAAATTATAAATTTAGTTTTTAAATTTAAATTTTATTTTTAATTTTTTTTAATTTTTTTTTAAATTATAAAAATAAAAAATTGTTTAAAATAATAGGAAAATTGAATATTTAAAGAATAATAGTAAAAAATGGAGTTATGGTTGGAGTAAAATTACTGTAGCAACTGCATATTTGGAGTTAAAACTGGATAAATGGAGATGATGGATTGGAGATGGCCTAACCAAAACATTTTAACAGAAATTGTTTGTTCGGGAGATTGCATTTTAAATCCACTATTTATTCTATATTTTTTTTTCCCAAAAATATCAAATCAAACACCTATTTTTCATTTTTTATATTATACTAAAAATCAATTTTACATTCGAAATACACTACAAGAAAAAATCATTTTTTAAACAAAATTTTTTTGTCTCTAAATCTACTTTTTCCGTTACTAATGACATTAGAGACGGAATTAGGAACGGAATTACGTTAGCTACGTGAACTTTAGGGACGGAATTCCGTTACAAATATATTATTTTTTTGTAGTGATATCACATCAACACTTATTTATATCACATCATACAACTATTCAAATTCAAAATTTTTACTATTAAAATCCCAACTCAAAATCCAAATCCGCAAACAAACTAGAATTTTCTCTCTTGACTGAAAAAAATTGTCTATTGCACAAAGTCTGATTCAAGTGCCTTCATATTTTTACTCGGAAAATAAGGCCACTTTATATAATTTTATATTTTGACTTGACAAAGGAAGTCTTGTTGTAGACAAGAATGGTAGCGATATGTGAGTCATTGTGTGTGTTCTTACAGACATTATTTTTCACTTAAAAATTGAATAGTTAAAAATTCTACTTTTCCGATCTAAAATGTAGATGTAGACGTCATTTATACATATATATATATATATATCTCAAATATCTTTTTTGATCTTTCAAATTTTGTAAAGTTAATTTGTGTAAGTCAACCAATTATGTAAATATGTACTCTCTCCGTCTGCTAGTAAGTTTTTCGTTTAACTTTTGTATTCAGATTTGTTGAAATATTTTAGATATTCGATTTTAGATTTAGTAGATTTATATTTAGATTTGATCTTATTTATTGATTAGATTACTTAGATTTGAGTCTATCGAGTCTGTTTTGTATTACCTATATATATGCTTCTTATTTTAATGATCAATAACATAATCTCATTATTTTTTCCCAAAAGTATTTTATAGATATGTAGTGTAAAAAAATAATATAATCTCTATTTTACCTTTGAAAAGTAGTATGAAAAGTAAAGAAGTAAAGATATTTTGATATTTAATTGATAATTATTTTTTTTTTAAATTTTTTTTTTTTTAATTTGTACAGATTAAAATGACAGATAGAAAATTGACTAGTGGAAGAATGGAATATTACTCATATTTAATAATAATAATTATTGAACGAAATATTTAGACTAAATTGTATAAAACTTATCGGTGTTTCATACAATTATGCCAAATCCCTTATACTTCTAAAATTGCGTCAAACTCTCTCGTCGTTTCATAAACTCTGCGTCTAATCATTTCAAGGATCTTTATTTAACGCTATTTGACATAAATGAGCTCAAACTGTAAATAAATTTTTAAATCTCAATTTGTAAACCCCTAAAAATTATAAATATATTCATTTTTCTTATCTTTAGGCTAAAAAAATAGTAAATATACTAAAAAATAGTTATTTTTCTTAGGTTTTAAAAAGTTTATTTTTACTATTGTTTTAGGCTAAATATATAAAAAATAAATATATTTGTAATTTTAGAGGTTTTGAAATTGCACTACAAGAAAATATTATTTTTGTAACAAAACGTTTTTGTCTCTAAATCTACTTTTTCCGTTACTAACGACATTAGAGACGAAATTAGGAATGGAATTACGTTAGCTACGTGAACTTTAGGGACGGAATTCCGTTACAAATATATTATTTTTTTGTAATTGATATTCTAAAATTTATTCGCAGTTTAAGCGCATTTAAGTCAAATACCGTTAAATAAAGACCACTGAGGGGGTTAGACGTAGAGTTTATGAAACCACGAGAAAATTTGATGCAGTTTTAAAAATTTGACGCAATTTCGTGAAACAAAGTCTAGATTTTGTAAAATTTAGCCAAATATTTGTATGACCTAGGAACATTAGATGGCAATTGGGAGTGAGTTAAGTCTGAACCCACTCTAGATGGCCACTAATGTAAAAAATATTCTATTTACACACATATATATTTAAAGTTTTTGGCACTATATATTAATTAATATAAATAATTTTAACAATATCACATTAAATATTTATTTCTCTCACCAACATTATAGCACTGACTATTTATTATTATTATTAGTAGTATTATTATTATTAGTATTATTATTGTTATATATATTTTTTTCTTCTTATTATTGTTATTTACAAAATTAAAAAAACTCCAAAAATCTTTATGGAAAGGTAACCGTTTACTTTAATGAGACTTATCATTAATTTTGTATTATGTACTTATATAGTTTCTTCTAATGACTATATTTTATTACATGATATTTCAAATTAGAAGTATTCTATTCTTTAATGTTATTTTTTTTTCTTAAATTTTGTACTACTTATGTAAAAAATAAAAAATAGAAATAGAAATTTATAGATTTTTTGTTTTTTTAATATAAAAGGAGAAAAAAAAAAGAACTTATCGTCTAGGTGGAGCAGGATAAACAAAATTAAATTAATTAACAGGGATGGTAATCAGTTAAAATTGTAATTAAGCAGCGAAAATAATTTAATACAAAGATGCAAATACGATGGTATCAAAAGTTGAAAATTTTCTTTGTTTATCCGTGGAGTTTCAACTATATTTTATTACTCAATATATATATATATATATGCAAATTTATCAAATTAAATTTATATACTCCCACCGTCCTACAAGTAAGTATCAATTTGTTTTTTTTCATATAATTTTAGAAATATTAGTATTATATTGGGATATAGTAGGAATAAAGTGGAAATAATTAAAATAACTTTATTATTATGTGTGATATAAATGTAATGATATTTGTGTAATATATTGTAAGTTGTAAGGGTATTTGTAATGTTAGGTAGATAATACAATTACTAAAAAAGGAAATGAATACTTTGTTATGAGACAGACTAAAATGGAAAAATGGATACTTTGTTATGGAACGGAAGGAATATATTTTTATTTTTTAATATTAAACTAAAAAGTAATTTTGTATTCAGAATATACAATGACTTTGGGGTCAAAATAACTGCGGTTACATGCTGAATATCACATCGTATGTTAAAAGAAAATATACAATATTATTATAAAAAATACGTATTCTCTCCATCCTACTTACCGTGTCTATTTTGTATGTTCTACTTATTATGTTACTTTTCGGAAAAAGAACTATACACTTTAATCTTATTTTATTTTATTTTTTAATTTTAATTAGCCTAATTAGTTTTTATCTAAAATTATCTTTATTATACTATAATTATTTTCATTAATACATTCTTAATTATTACAAATTATACTCCTCTTGAATTCCCGTGTCTATAGTAAACGAGACACTAAGAATTAATAATATAATATAAATATAAATAGAGTTCGCAGGGTACTAAGTTCGGTCGGAGGTTCATCCAGTGCGCACTTACATATAGCGGCGGCGGATTCCCACATTATAAAAAATAATATATATATAAATATAACATAAGAACTAATAATACATAACATACTCTTATATATCACATACCATATTTTCATAGAACCCCAAAATCTTAAATATGAACATATATCACATACTTTTATTTCACAAAACTGCATTAAGAGCATGTGCTGTTAGAGAAAATACTGATCTCCCAAATCAACATGATGCCGCATCAAAAGAAACACTCCCTTCCTTCGTTCATAATATTTTATTTTACTATTTTTGTTTATTTCACTCAACAATATTTTTTGTATTATTTTTTTTTTAAAAGTAAAAATAATTATATATTATCAAAATATATTTAATTTTTATTTAAATTACAGATATGTCACTTCATATATATAATTATTTTTTTTTTTTACATAAAGTAAAAAAAAATGTCAAAATATCTTCCACGTTATAAGGGAGGAGTATCTTAATTCAAAATTTTACTCATCGAAAATCCAAACCCTCCAAATCATATGGTGCTTAATTGAACTAAAGCATTGGATGACTGCATCAGATTTGAAATCGATCCCCATGGAGTTGAATTATTATTATTATTATTATTGAATATTTCGTTTGAGCTGATTTGTAATAATTACTAAAGACTTTGAATAAGATTAGAAGCAATATATTCGTGTATGACCAGGAGTTGATTCCGCTTTAATGGAAAAAAAGAGGAGATATGCCTGAACAGGTCAGAAGTAATAAATTAGGGTTTTTAATTTCTGCAACGCTGCCAAGACTTTGACTTCAAGAATTCCATTACGCCTAATGTCGTGATCGTGAAATTCTACAATTGTTTGGTCACTCATCACTATAAATAGATGAGCTGATATCCTAATAGTCCCACCCCAAAAATCTCATCATTCTATCGAATAAATTAAACACATTAATTCATGATGATGATGAAGATAACAACTTCAAGATTTTCGAAATTTTCCCTTTTCATAGTTCTTGCAGCTTTGTTCTTAATTTGTTTCCCAACTCCTGCTGAATCCCAGCAGATTGATCACAATAAATTTCTGCAATGTCTGTCCCTTCGTTTGCAGAATCATAGCCATGGAATTTCCGACGTTGTTTACACTCCCAACGAGCCCTCGTATTTGTCGATTCTTCGAAATTCCATAAACAACCGAAGATTCATGTCGGCTCCTACTGCTCGACCTCAGGTCATCGTCACGCCGTTGCAGGAATCCCAGATTCCTGCGATTGTCGTTTGTGCGAAACAAAATGGCATGCAAATCCGGACTCGAAGCGGCGGGCATGACTACGAGGGACTCTCGTATACCTCCCCAGTGCCGTTTGTTATCGTCGATTTGTTCAACCTCAATGATATAGCTATTGATGTCGCACAAATGACCGCATGGGTTCAAACCGGTGCGACCAACGGGCAATTGTATTATGCTATAGGCCAAAAAAGCAATACGATTGGTTTCCCGGCGGGATCATGCCCCACGGTCGGAGTTGGCGGGCTTTTTAGTGGAGGAGGCTATGGGCCGCTGTTTAGAAAATACGGTCTTTCTGCCGATAACATCGTCGATGCACGCATGGTTGATGCTAATGGGAGGATGCTCGATAGGAAATCTATGGGCGAAGATGTTTTTTGGGCCATACGAGGTGGTGGAGGTGCGAGCTTTGGCGTCATAACTGCATGGAAGATCAAATTGGTGACGGTACCGGAGACTATAAGATTATTTTCTGTTAGCAGGACTTTGCAGCAAAATGCGACAGAGCTCGTCCACAAATGGCAATACGTGGCGCCTTCTATGCCCAAAGATATTTTACTTTCACTCAGTGCTGGTCCGGTAACTATCTCCGGTACTGGAGAAAGAACAGTGCAAGCCAACTTTAATTCGATGTTTTTGGGAAGAATTGATCAGTTACTCGAGTTGTTGAAACAAAGCTTTCCGGAGTTAGGCGTGAGAAGAGAAGATTGTCTTGAAGTTAGCTATATTCAATCTGCGCTCTACTTTGGAGGTTACAGTGTTCAACAATCACCGGAGCTCTTAACCAGCAGAAATCCCGAAGTTCCAAGCGCAATTCGAGCCACAAGGTTTAGTTTTAAATCAAAAACTGATTACCTACTCAAGCCAATTCCAAAAAGTGGTATCGAAGGTATGTGGAAGTTATTGTTGGAACGTGCTCCCGACATGGCAGAATTGTTGATGGTTCCATACGGTGGAAGAATGAATGAAATTCCAGAATCCGCAATACCATTCCCTCATCGAGCTGGAACTCTCTACAAATTCCAACAATTTGCGTATTGGACACAACCCGAAGAATCTGAAGCATCCCTTAGTTGGGTAAGAAACTTTTATGGTTACTTGACTCCTTTTGTTTCGAAATCTCCTCGCCTCGGCTACCTCAATTATCGGGATCTTGATTTGGGAGTCAACAACGGAGATAAAACTAGCTATACAGAAGCTAGTAAATGGGGATTGAGGTACTATAAATCCAACTTTAATCGATTGGTTCGAGTGAAGACCATGATTGATCCGACTAACTACTTTAGAAATGAGCAAAGTATTCCTGTCGGACTTGGCCGCAAGAATTTCTAGAAAGTTTATTTCAATGGCGATGCTACCATCATTGGTTGTGGAAGACACTACTTCGTAGCAACTATGAATAATTCATTCATGTTTTTTTTTATTAAGATTATTGCAATGATATTTAGAGTTATATTTTCTTAATTGTATTGTTGTATGGTTTATATGTAGTTGATTTGTGGTGCCAATCATCATATTTCACAAAGTTATGACTATAATTCTAATTGATATAATTTTGTTTTTCAATATATTTATGAATTGTTCATTAAGTTAAATATTTATTTTTCACTAAAAAAATATTACATCCAAGGTTCACACTTCATTAAAAATATTTACAGAATCCTAACTCTATTTCGGATTAAACCAAATGCAAAAAATTTCATTCACCCAATTTATTTTTGAGTGAGATGATTTATATAAATATTAAAAAAAATCTACAATATATACATATAATAATAATAATAATAATAATAATAATAATAATAATAATATCGGATTTTAAAAAAAAGTTATAACTCAAAGTTTGATTTAAAAGACTAGGGTCTGTTTGTTGAGAAGTTAAATTTAAGGAGTATTGGACCTCCTTTTAGTTTTAGGACCATTTACCTTGTAGGTAATGAGCTCAAATTTAGTAAATTTAAGTAGTTTTGAAAACTATTATGGGTTTAGGGTCTATTTGTTTAGTAAAATTGTTTATATATTTACGTGAGATATAGATAATTATATAAGGTATATAAAAATAATAAATATATAATATATTAATTTTTTAAAAAAATATATTTTTGGGAAATTGGGAGAACAAACCCTTTTTAAACCAAACTTTGATTTAGGATTTTTATTTTATTTTAAAAAAACCATAATATATGTACTCTATTCATCAAAAAAAAAAAAAAAATCAATAGTTGAGTATAAAATATTACTTTTTTTGAAATTTTTTCATATTATATATTATGTTAATATTGTATTTTTTTAAATAATATTTATAGATAATTATTCTATGGTGAACAAACCAATTATTTCGAAGAACAATACACTTATTTTATATATTAAACATCCCATTCAATAAACTTTTGTTATTTTTTAGATGATTAATAATTATTTCATCTAAAAAATAAAAAAAAGTCAAAACTTATAAAATTTAAAAAGAACACACCCTATATGATTCATGATGCAAGGCTAAGTCAATCCACATTTGACAAAAACAAACTACATAAAATGGAAAGAGAAGATTCTCACGTTGATTGAGACAAATAAATTCCATTTTCTATCAACGCGTTCCTCTGTGTATAGATGTTGACTAATTATGAGCATATATATTTCTTTGTATTTTCGACACATTATTATATAATATTATTTAAATTAGATCAATGGCGAGTAGTTGAATAAATTATTGTGGACAGTTTCTTCACACGACAAGGATAGAAAAATTTGTCGTTTTTATATGATTTTGTAATGAAGAAAAGGTCATTAAAATAAATAGGGTTTTGAATTTGAAAGACGACCTTGAATTGAAGAATTTATACGAAATTAAGTGTGTGTATACGCGTTGGAAGATACTTATAAATAGACACGAGTCTTGAATCAAAAAATCACATCATCGATCTATCATTCCATTAATCCTTGATCATATATTTCTTTCGATTTTCGAGCAAACAAACAAACCCTAAAGCCCTAAATAGATACATATATATAACGATGAAGATGATCAGTACTACTACTGGTTCAAGATCATTCTCCAAGTTTTCCCTATTCATAGTACTTGCTGCAGCTGCGATCTTAATTTGTTTCTCAATTCCTGCTGAATCTCGAAATGAAGGTGATCACAATCAGTTTCTGCAATGTCTGTCCCTTCGCTTGCAGAATGACAGCCATAGAATTTCTGATGTTGTTTACACTCCCAATGACTCTTCTTCTTCTTCTTCATACTGGTGGGTTCTTCGAAAATCGATACACAACCTCAGATTCATGTTGGCTCCGACTGCTCGACCTCAGGTCATCGTCACGCCGCTGCACGAATCCCACATTCCTGCCATTGTCGTTTGCGCCAAACAAAATGAGATGCAAATCCGCACTCGAAGCGGCGGCCATGACTACGAGGGACTCTCGTATACCTCCCCAGTGCCGTTTGTTATCGTCGATTTGTTCAACCTCAATCATATAGACATTGACGTCGAGCGTATGACCGGATGGGTTCAAACCGGTGCCACCAACGGGCAATTGTATTATGCTATAGGCCAAAAAAGCAATACAATTGGTTTCCCGGCGGGATCATGCCCCACGGTCGGAGTTGGCGGGCTCTTTAGCGGAGGAGGCTATGGGCCGCTGTTTAGAAAATACGGTCTTGCTGCCGATAACATTGTCGATGCACGCATGGTCGACGCTAATGGGAGGATGCTCGATAGGAAGTCCATGGGCAAAGATGTTTTTTGGGCCATACGAGGCGGCGGAGGTGCGAGCTTCGGAGTCATAACCGCATGGAAGATCAAGTTAGTAACGGTACCGGAGACTGTCACAATATTTTCTGTTAGCAGGACTTTGCAACAAAATGCAACAGAGCTTGTTCACAAATGGCAATACGTGGCTCCTTTCATGTCCAATGATATGCTACTCGCAATCAATGTTGGTACAATAACTGTCCCCAGTACCGGAGAAAGAACGGTGCAAGCCAGCTTTAATTCGATGTTTTTGGGAAGGATTGATCAATTGCTCGAGTTGTTGCAACAAAGCTTTCCGGAGTTAGGTGTGAGAAGGGAAGATTGTCTTGAAGTTAGCTATATTCAAGCTGTGCTCTTCTTTGGAGGTTACAATGTTCTACAGTCACCGGAGCTCTTAACCAGCAGAAATCCCGAAGTTCCAAGCGCAATTCGAGCCACAAGATTTAGTTTTAAAGCAAAAACTGATTACCTACACAAGCCAATTCCAAAAAGTGGTATCGAAGGTATGTGGAAATTGTTGCTGGAACGTGCACCCGACATGGCAGAACTTTTGATGGTTCCGTATGGTGGAAGAATGAGTGACATTCCAGAATCCGCAATTCCATTCCCTCACCGTGCTGGAACCCTCTACAAATTCCAACAACTGGCTCATTGGATACGCCCTGAAGAATCCGAAGCATCCTTCAGGTGGGTAAGAAGCTTTTATGGTTATTTAACTCCTTTTGTTTCGAAATCTCCTCGCTTGGGCTACCTCAACTATCGGGATCTTGATTTGGGAGTCAACAACGGCGACAAAACTAGCTATAGAGAAGCTAGTAAGTGGGGATTGAGGTACTATAAATCCAACTTCAAAAGATTGGTTCAAGTGAAGACTATGATTGATCCGACTAACTATTTTAGAAATGAGCAAAGCATTCCCGTCCGACGCGCCCGCAAGAATTACTAAGATGAGTTACTACTTCAACGAAGGTGGAACCATCTCATGGCAAGGAAGATTCTTCTTTATATATTGAGACTAACAAATTCGTTCATATTTTTATTAAGGTTACTGTATCGATATTTATATTTAGATTTAGATTTCTTAATTGTACTCTTGTATGATTTTCTCGCCTTTTGTGGTGTAAGTTATCAGGCTAACTTTTTATTGATTACAATTGTAATTAGTTTGATTTCACTTTTCAATATATTCACGGTCTATTCATTTGCATTTTTTACCATATATTTTTTTTTTATCAATCTTTCAATTTTATTAAAAGAAATATATATCAGCATCTTGACTATCCTTACTCACACCACAGCCCGTACCAAAAGCTTACTATATTCAATTCATTTAGACATCATGCTCAGTTCCACATCAATCAAATTCATGTCACCAGGTCGGGGCATCCCCTCGCACCTCTTTTTTCCGGGCTGTCCGCGGTGCTATTATTATTATTTTTTTCCCTACAGATATGGGTGACCTACACTGCATTTCTGTGCGATAGAAAGCTAAAGATCATCTGTTGATTCTTGATTTCATTTCTAAGGACATTGTGTTTTCTTTTTCAACCATGACACTGTCGTAGTTGAATCACTTTTCTGATATAATTGTAATTTTTAATCTAATAATAATTTTGAAAATATATTTTTGAGAGTTGTGTTTGTGTAGTAGCAATGTCAAGAGCTAACTAATTTATTTGTTTTTAATCTAATAATGATTAGATGATATTGAGTGAAGATTATTATATTCAATAATATAATAAATAAATAACAAACTACAAAATACACATAAGATACATTAAACTAGATGTACAAGCTGTCCGCGTTGAATAAACTTTCAAGTCAACGGCTAGCCTATAAATTATGTCAAAATCGTTTGTGGCAAGTCTGACCGAAAAGGTGTTTGCTGGCTTTCAACTCATAAAATAGCTCGGTTTTTTGCATGTTTGATTTTACCGCTAATTTTATTACTCCCTCGTTTCGTCCCATAATTAAATATTTATTTTTTTCACGTAATTTTAAAAATATTAATATTATATTTGAATATAGTAGGAATAAAGTAGAAATATGACTAAAATAACCTTATTAGTACGTGTGATATAAAGGTAATGACATTTATGTAATATATTGTAAGTTATAAGGGTATTTGTAATGTTAGGTAGATAGTACAGTTACTAAAAAAAATTGATACTTTGTTATGGGATAGACTAAAATGGAAAAATAGATACTTTGTTATGGGACGGAGAGAGTATTTTAATTTATTTTTTTATATATATATCAAATCAAATACTTATTTTTTATTTATTTTATTACACCAAAATTTAATTTTACATTCAAAACACCACGTTAATATATATTTATATCACATTAAACAATTATTTCAATTCAAAATTTTATTATTCAAAACAAAAAACCAAAACTCAAAATCTTACGAGTAAACACACTCTACCGATTATAAGTTCACCAATCGCACTAATTTGGTCATAATTATTTATTTAATGCTCCATCCGTCCCTCGTTGGGTGTCTTAGTCACTGTAGACACGAGAATTTAGAATAAATATAATTAGTAGATAATTAAAAATGTATTAGTGAAAATAATTAACTTATAATATAAGATAACTAATTAGTTTAATTAAAATTTTAAAAAAAATTAAATTAGAAAATTTGAAATGACATTAAGATTGATAATCATTTTTCAAAAACTGTCATGAGATGTGGAACGAATAGAAACGAGAATATGGACATAATAAGTGGAACATAGAGAGTACTATTCATTTTCTTTTCTCATGATC